ACTCCATCCATCTGCTGTTGAGCCTGGACGCATCACTCCCACTGCCATGCAGTAGTCGTTAACCTTTGTGTTTCCTTGGTTGTTAAACGAGGCATATGGGTATGATCCACCGTGCTGCTGGTAAGGCATTATTCCGTACTTGTTTTGGTAGCAGACCTGTGGATAGGAAATACATTAACAACTGCGTTTCAACTCTCTTATCTTGAATTTCAAAATAAATTGGCCTTAAAGGGTTTAGTGAGAGTAGTGACATACGTGCAACTGAACCAAGTCTATTCCCGCCATCTGATCTTGTAAACTGCTCCCTGTCTGTTGTTAGGTTCGTCCCTGTCTTTCACGTTGATCAGTAAGTGTCGTAACGTAGTTGTAGGTTTGTGGGCTACACGGATGTTGTGGGGCTGAAGGATCCGTGAGATGGTCTCAGAGGTGCCCTTGATGTAAGGTATAGTCACTGTAGTAACAGTTGTTGGGTTCCTGTTCGTTGCGTCATCAGCTTCAGTAGGTCGGTAAATGTTTCGTCCAATAAAGTTAGCGTTGTAGTTATTTTTGTGAAAAACACGTTCAAAGTATCTGTTTTCGTCACGTAAGCTGTCCAGTGTGTCACTAACTAGTTGCGCTCGTCTCGTCATAGTCTTTATAGTCGTGGCTTTGTGTGAAGTCGTGTTGTAGGACGATTCGTCAAGTAATCTGTCGGTATGAACCGGTTTTCTGTACACTGTCGTTCGCAGTTCGTTGTTGTCGCGGCTTACCAAACAGTCTAGAAAAGGAAGTTTTCTTCGATCTCTTTAGTAAACTGGATGTCGGTGTTCTGTTCGTTTAGGTGGTCGTGAAAATCTACAATTTCGTCTTTGTGAACGGCGGTCCCTAACAGACCGACTTAATTTGTCTAACAATGGACGGACCAAAATCCGACCAATTTGACTAACAATAGACGGATCGAAACCCGTCAATGACTGATGACAAACTTTACACGAGTCTTTCAGGCAATACCACCATGACTAAACTGACCAATCACGTTCAACGGACCAGACTTATAACATCATCGACTGACAAACACTATTCA